GAGGCTGAGGCAGAAGGATCGCTTGAGCCCAGGAGTTTGAGGTTGCTGTGAGCTAGGATGACGCCATGGCACTCTAGCCCCGGCAACAGAGCGAGACTCTGTCTCAAAAAAAAAAAACCTATGACAAAGAATATAATTTTCTTGTGCATTTCCCTTCATGAGTGTACCATTTTGCATTGTAATTCTCTTGTTGCTCCACTGAATATTGTGTTGCTTTATTCCTTTTGATGCATTTAAAGTATTTAAAAAATCTTCTTAGGCTTTATGCATTTTACTTTTTTTCTTTCACTTGATACAGTTTTTGGTTATTCAAAGAATTTTTCATCTAATACTTAGGGGACTTTATTTTACTAGATTCTTAAGGTTTTCTTTTTCTATATTTATCAGCATTTTAATAAATTACATATCTATGCTAAGTAATAGTTTAAATGTAGAAATGTCAACTAATGACATTCTATACAATGGTTGGGCTCAAAGCTACATTCAGCTGGGTTGTGCAGTATTCAGTCTAAATCACAAAGTGTGTTACTTAGTAAATATACCCAGAATCCTGCTTTCTTTTCAAGCCATGTGAGTCACATAACATGTGGATTAAAAAAGTAAATATAAAGTGGGGATGATAATATCTAGCTTATTGGATTGTTTTGGTGATTAAATTTGGGATAACACATTTAAAATATCCTGGTATATACCTGTTTTTAGTCCCAGATCCTTCCTCTGTATCTGTCCTCTACATTTTAAATTTTCTGATCACTGTAGAATTAGACCTTTTAGCTGCTTAATGATCCTGGATTCTCTAAGTAACTTAATTTCCTGGTTAGATTTTCTTATATTGTCTCCATTATATATGTTTCATTTTTTTCTGGGGTTCATAATAAATTTAAAACTTGAACATTTTAAAATATAAAAGTTGTGCATTTGTTATTAACTCACTTTAAATCAGATTTCACTACCAAGAATTCTTACTTGTACTTGAGGGCTTTCACCTACCATACATTATGTCAGTGTCTCAAAAGACTGTTTATTAATAAGCTATAAAACACTTTTTGGAGCCCTAGGAAACCTTTTTAAGTACATGTTCATTTTCTTTTCTAGCGTTAATGTTCTCTTCTGATGTGGAAGAATATCCTGATAAAGCAATCAAAGCCTCTTCATAATGCCAACTCACCTTTAGCGGAATAATGACCCAGTATTTTTCCCATTTTTGTTTTTAAATATATTTTTATAAGATGTATATATGTGCATTTGTAATAGATTTTTTGATTATATAATACTAAACATTTCTCAAGATTATGAAAAATGTTAAAATTGTATCTGCTATTTATACCCAAACATTAATTTCTATAGCATTATCATCTTAATGACAAAGGAGATAATGAGCTAGAAACCAGTAGGTGAAAGTGTTTATTTCCTTTTTTCTCAAATTAGTTGTATTTATAATCATTATCTTAAAAAGCACTAATTCAGAAAAAGCCATAACTTTAGTGTTATAAAATATATATCAGGTTTAAACATAAATTTAGAGAATAAGGTAGAAGGGGAAAAAGGCCTTCATTATTTATTTTTGATGTCTCCTTACTGAATAAATTGAAATATGAAATTTGTCTTTTCTGAAACTGTCTTAGTGTATTGTGTATCATGTAACAATTATATGTAATTTAGCTTTAAAGATGCTTTATATCATGGCTAATAAAAAGGAAATATATCTTTTTGTTTGAAAAGTTTTACAACCTGAAACGTTACTTCTCTTTAAAATCTATACCAGTGGTTCCCATATCTAGTTGCACATCAGAATCGTGTAGGGCAGTGGTCTCCAACCCTTTTGGCACCAGGGACTGGTTTCATGGAAGACAATTTTTCCACAGACTGCAGGTGGGAGATGGTTTTGGGATGATTCAAGTGCATTACATTTATTGTATAGTCAGACCTCTCTGCTAATGATAATCTGTATTTGCAGCCGCTCCCCAGTGCTAGCATCACCACCTCAGCTCCACCTCAGATCATCAGGCATTAGATTCTCATAAGGAGTATGCAGCCTAGATCCCTCGCATGCACAGTTTATAGTAGGGTTCATGCTCTTGTGAGAATCTAATGCTGGTGATCTGACAGGAGGCGGAGCTTATGATGATGATGTGAGTGATGGGGATTGGCTGTAAACACAGATGAAACTTACCTCACTTGCCCCCTGCTCACCTCCTGCTGTACACCCGGTTCCTAACAGGCCATTGACCTGTACTGGGGGTTGGGAACTGCAGATGTAGGGAGCTTTAAAAAACACATGTAGCAAAAGAGAAGCTGAGCAGGCCCAGAGCCCAGGGGAGTAAAGGAGAGGCTGGTGAGCTTTGTTGGGCTAACACTCCCAATTGACCTTGGCAGTACCCTTTCCTCTTGTCTCACAGGAAATACCAGTAGAAATTTACCATCCCTATTCTCAAGCTCTTTGTTAGAGAGATCATTGGCGTTCCAGGAAATCCCACTCTTGAGGTGGGTCCTGCACTGGAAAGGGTCTCTTCAGGGATATATCCAGTTAGGTATCTCAATTGGTATCTGTGAGACCCTGGAGCTCGAGACAATGCTAAGACTTGCTATGGGAAAAAGTGTCTCAAAGGCTGTTGAGCACATCAGTAAAACTACCCTGATAGCAAATCAATGAATGTTGCGGAATAGAAAGGATTGACAAATCGATGATAAGGATGGATGGCCCTGAGACTAAGTCTCAATTTGGTGTGAGCACCATACTAGGAATATGTTTTGCTGTCTGTGAGGCTGGAGCTGCCTAAAAGGGGTTCTCCGTGCTATCACAGAATTGTGAATTTGCTGGGAATTTTGAAGTCATTTTGCCAGTTCCAGCTTTCACTGTGATAAGCAACAGTTCCCATTCTGGCAAGAAACTGGTGGTGTTTTGAGTTCATGATCTTCCCTGTTAAAAAACTTCAGGAAAGCCATGCTCATTAGAGCCAAGGCTCACCACACCTCAGCAGTGTCATCAAGGAGAATATGAAAAAGCTGCTATCAATGTGGGAGATTGTGGTAGGTTGAATAATGTCCCCCAATGAAGTCTATGTCCTAATCCCTGGAACCTGTGAATATATTACTTTTGGCAAAGGATTTTGCAGACATGATTGAGATAATGAACCTTGAAATGAGTTTATCCTATATTATCTGGGTGGCCCAGTATAATCTCATGACTCCTTGAAAGTAGAAAAGAGAACTTTTCATGTCTGTGGTCAAAGAAATAGGTCAGAAAGTTGTGGTGTTGCTGGCTTTGAAGGTGGAGGAGGGGGCCACTGGCCAAGGAATGTGGATGACCTCTAGAAGCTGAGTATGGCCCTTGGTTGACAGCCAGTAAGGAAGTGGATCTCAGTCCCATAATTGCAAGAAACTGAATTCTGCCAACATCCTAAATGAGCAAGGAAACAGGTTCTCCCCTAGAACCTACAAAAATGAATACAGCTCTGTGGACATCTTGATTTTGGCCTGGTGCCTCCAGGTAAGACTTCTGACTTACAGAACTATAAGATAGCAAATGTGTGTTGGCTAAGCTAAATTTGTGGTATTTTGTTATGGCAGCAATAGAATGCCAGTACAGGGTTGGTGGAAGTTTTTCTCCTTACATCCTAGAGAATAAAGAAGACTGGAGCTGCTACGGAATGCAATTGGAAAAGCTGGCTATATTGATAATATTGTAATTGGCATGGATATAGTTGCCTTGAATTCTTTGAGATCTGGGAAATACCACCTGGACTTCAAATCTCCTGGTGACCCCAGGAGGTACATAATCCTGACAAGCTGGTGGACCTGTACAAGTCCTTCAGGGAAAACCCAGTGGTGTCTATCAAAGATTCCTTTGACCGGGATGATTGGGAAGCTTTGGAGAAGTTCATTGCTAATGCATGTCTCCAGGAGGTAGGGAATGATCTCACAGTGACTAACTCAAGGTATGTTGCTAGGGCTGTGGATGAGAATTCATGCAACTTTCTTTAGCTTCTAGTGGACCAGGTTGGCATGCAGGCTGGTCCAGTCCAATAGGTAAATGCATCATGACTCATTACTCAAGATGCTTTTATTGTCAACCTGGTGGTGAGACAGTGCACTGGATAGATAACACAGGGACATCTTGCTGGTTAGAATCCTTGGTCAGGTACAAAGAACTCAGATTTCTAGAAATAAGTCCTAGCCAATTAGGCTTTGAGCAGGGAAGCCTCTGAAATTTTCAAGCGCTAGCCAGTTGCGTAGATTTCTCCTCCTGAACTAAGCATGGGCAGCTTAAGGCATCAGACCAAAAGGCATAGGGGCTCTGATAGTTAACTCCTTTATCCATTATGACATGCTCAGTGCCTCATTAAAATTGCTATGCCAGAAGCCAAAATTGATCAACTGGAACCCCATTGGAGGTCCTAGCCTTGTAATCACATGATTGGCTCAAAATCATTTTTCTCACTTTTCTCCCATATCAAGTGGGTAGTGATAGTAAGTTTCTGAGGTGTCAATAGGCAAAATCCCCAGTGGAGTTTTTCTTGTTGCAAAATAAAGTATTCAGTAATACCTGTCTCTCTCCCCTCCCTTCCCCTCCCCTCAAAGAGAATAAAGCATCTCATCCTCAGAGATTCAGATTCAATAGGTCTGAGGTGGTGCCTGGAAAACCACATTTTAAAAAAAGGCACACTTGGTGATTGTGATGTCGCCATTAGAGTAGCCAGCATTTGGGACCTGACTTACATAAACCAGCTGTAATTTATTCTGAAACATAAAGCTCAGACTGTGATAGATGATTTGATCTTGGTCAAATTGCTAAGTTTGTGGGAGGACAATAAAAATGAAAAAAATTAGTATAACTTTGGTATCTGCCTTCTAGAGGCTTGTAATCTAGTCCAAGAGACAAAGGCATAGGCATAGAAGAATCTAGAAAAGAACTGTGGTTAAGTTGAGTGTGAATTTTCTAGGATGGATGGGACTTCTGGTGGAGACAGAGAATGAGAAAAAGACCATACATATGAGTGAGCCTTGAGGGCTTTTTATTTGGAAATTATCAAACAAAAATGTTGAAAATATAATAGCAACTATAATCTGGATCAACCTAGATTTAATAATTGTTAAAATTTTTGTCTCGTTGCTCTTTATTTGTACATCCCCCTTTTTTCTTTTGAAATCTTTTGAAAATAAGTTGCTAATATCATGGCACTTCACCTGAATATTTCAGCATGCACCTTCTAAAAATAAGGACATTTGTCTATGTAAGCACAATATCATTAAAACAACTGGAAAACAATTTTATAATGTGTAATATCCAGTCCATTCTCAAACATCTCCTGTTGTCCCTCAAGATTTAGTCAATGTTTACCCATTTCATTCTGTTGTTAGCTCTTTCTTATCTCTTAATTTAAACTGGTCTCTCTACCTTCTTTTCTCCTCTACAACATTTTTTTGAGGTATTAAACAATTCCAAAAACCGCACTGCAATCCCCTATGTTGCCCTTCCATAACCACACCCATCTCCTTTCTGCACTGCTCTCCCTGCACCCCTAACTCTAATCCCTGGCAACCATTAAGCTGCCTTCTATTTCTAGAATTTTTTCATTTCAATAATGTTATAAAATGGAATTATATGGTTTGTAATCTTTTGAGATTGGCTTTTTTTCTTCTCAGCAGAATTCCCTGGAGATTCACCCAAGTTGTCATGTGTCCAATGGTTCATTCGTTTTTATTGTGGAGTAGTACTTTCAAGTATGTATGTACTTCAGTTTGTTTTACCATTCACCAGTTGAAGGACATCTGGGCTGATTCCAGTTTTTGGCTATTATGAATAAAGCTGATACGAACATTCATGTGCAAGTTTTTGTGTGAACATAAGTTTTCGTTTCTCTGAGATAAATGCCCAGAAGTAAAATTGATGGGTAGTATGGTAGCTGCATGTTTAGTTTTTTAAGAAACTGCCAAACTGTTTTCTAGAGTGGCTGTACCATTCTATTATATATTCCCATGGCAATTTTTTTAAGGAGTCCAAGCCAGTTTTGCTTTAGAGCATCCCAGTTACATTTTGAATTGTCTGCCTTTTTCCTAATGGTATCATTTAATTTGTTTCTCAGTTTTCTCTGGAGGTTTGATTAGATTTAGATTCGATTTTTTTTTTTTTTAAACAAGATTACTTCATCTATGATGCTGTATACTTTATGTTACCTAGCATGAAGCTCAAGGACATCAGAGTGAGCTGGTGGACAGCAAGTCTCGTTATTCAAGACTTGAATAACGTGGTGTAATTCAAACACCATACAGCATAGATCCAAAATGACGACAAACGGGTATTAAGGGCCTTGGGATATTGGGCCATGTGCCCTGAAGAGCACAAGGTGAGGATCAGGTTCCTGCCCCCAAAGAACTCTATCTTTTGAGATGAACAGCTAATAGTGTGAGCCCATTAATAGGATGTGAAAGTCGTCAAAATCAAAATGGAGTCATTTGTGTTAAAAACCCTGGCAAATAGAGCCAGGGAAGGCCATGAAAGGAGGGTTCTCATGCACAGATGCCTGATAACAAGAACTATCATAAAAGACTCTGTAAAAACCACACCTTGCACAAAGGTCATCACAACCTTACACACAAAAAAAACTTCTGAGAGTACATTTGCCCAGCATCTGCCTGTCCAACCTCAGACTGGCACCATTCTTGTTATTGATCCTTGTAACCAAGGACGATTATTGCAAAACAATTATGTAATTCTTCTTTATTTTTGCTTTAGAAACCTTCATCTTCCTTTACCTCCCTGAATACACAGTTTACTAGGGTGCTTGTTATCCCATTGCAATGCCTATTCCTGAATAAACATCATTTTCTTTTAGAGCTTCTTCCTCTCTGTTATTTAGGTTGACAAGGGATATGCCAAGTAGCAGCTTGAGAGCAGCAGTTAATTTTGCTTTTGAGGTATGTGTATGGGGTTATAAGACCTAACCAAACATTTGTACCCCTGTAATATCCTGAAATAAAAAAATACATAAAATTTAAAAAAAGATTAAAAAACTTACCTGAAAGCTGATATTTGAGCTGGTTCTTGAATAAAAGAATAGATTCCAGAAAGAATAACAATAAATAATTGAAAGAATGGTCTTGCTAATAGGCTAACAAGAAAATAAATTTCTAACTGGCAGCCACTTAGAATAGCATAAGCCTTTCCTCTAAGGTTAGTAACAGGAATATCTCTCCTACAGAGATGTTTACCTCGAAATTTAAAAAAGCTGAGCTAAACAAAAGAAGGTATAAATCCTCATTAATATTTTCCTGAGGTGGTCAATTCACACTCCAAAAGGGAAAAAAGTTTCTGGGAAAGGAGGGGAAAGTGTAGACTATCTGATGGACTGTCACCAAAAATTCACTGCCTGTAAAAAGGTTTTTTGAGTATTGTTTAAACAGCCTTGAAAAGTTCCTGAGCAGACAGTAGGGGCGCCATCTCCCTGCTCCAGCTTTTTGCCTCATTCCTATAAAAAAAAAAAACGGATTTCAAGGACTCAGATAAACCAGCCTCACAGGAAAAGAAAAAGAAATAAATAACTCCCTGGCATCTCGAAGCCACTTTTGTTATCAGTCTGCTGAAACGGGAAAAAAAGCCATTTTTACCCTTTAAAAGCACCAAACAACTTTCCTCACTGCCTGACATTTCCTTCCTCCGTGTGTCGTGCCACTCTCTCTCTTTCTCACTCTTTCTCATTCTCTCTCTCTCTCGAAAATAAATGAACTTTTACTTCTGTATATCCTGATCACTGAGAATTCTTTCTTCCCCTTGGTATGGACTTCACACCCTAACAATAATGATCCTAACATAGGAGAGTGCATTTTGGAGGCCCTTGGTTTCCATGGTAAGAAATTAAGATTTTGTGGCGAATTAACAAGTTCTAGAAGTTTCTGGTTTTTTGTTTTTAATGGTAAAATTATTCTAATACTGTGGCAGTAGAAGGAATGGATGACAGCAGACTGGGAGATCCATGAGTAAACCATTACAATCACCTGTGTGTGAGATGGCCCAAATTAGATTCAGATATTTAGGGTTAAAATTAAAAAAACATCTGAATTTTTAAGATTTTGTGGATGTGACATTCCTACATCAAATGAGTTTGGAATATACAGGTTTAGGAGGGAAGATGAATATTGTGCTGTGCATGTGAAAGTTGTGTTTTGTGTCTGTAGAGCAATGGGGTAAAGATGTCCAAGTAGAATGTTGGCAGTGTGACATCTGGAGCTCAGGGGATAGTGTACAGGAAGTGACGATTGATGCTGTAAATCTCCTAAAAAGAACTGATGCTCATGATTAAAGGGCAAACAAGATAATGAACTAAGTTGTTTAATCACCCTGCTGAGGAGCCTTGCTCTCCACCAGCGTGCTCTGACCTCCTTCTACAGGAGACTGAAATGCCTAGCAAGTGCTTGCAGCAGACCCTCCAACGTCGCTAAATTCGCACGCCCCCAAAGCCAGTACCCCTTCGCCGCCTGCGCAGGGGCCAGGCCTGAACTGGTCACGCGCGGCTGCGCGCGCGGGAAAAGCGCCCCGAGGGCCGCGCCTGCGCAGTAGCGGCAGTGGGCCGTCGGTTAGGCGATAACAGGCCCGGAGGATGGAAGGATGGAGCCGCCCCAAGAGACAAGTAGGCCTGCCAACACAACTGAGAACCGCGGCGGGCGGGCCCATTCCCTGTATGCCGTACCTGTACTTGGGAGAAGTCCCTATGGCAACCCAGACAACGCGAAAGGGTCAGAAATTTCTTCCATCCAAACAACCCAGGACCGTGGTAGGACACCCAAGGACAAGGGCCAAGAGGGCACTGGAAACCGGCTGCTGAACGTGAGTGGGGGTGGAGGGGCCTGGCCGCAGCAGGAGGCCGGGGTCCCCCAGAGTGTGCCCCCTACCCGACAGCCCTGAGGGTGGGGAAGGGATCAAGGGGGTCAGTGCATGCAGATTGACGGAGACCTGACCTGAATTGGAAGGTGCTAATACCTGAGGAAGGGTTTACTTGTGGGACCTTGGGCATTTATTTAACTTGTCAGAGCCTCGTTTTATTAACTGTTAAGACAACAATTACTACCTACCTCACTTAAAGGATAACTGAAGGAGATAATGATATAAAGTGCTTAGCACAGTACGAAGAACAAAGTAGAGTCAATAAAAGTTAACTGCGGTCGTCATTATCATTGGGATTTCATTCATATGGTTAAAGGGCTAAACTCCAGAAACTTTAGTTACCCTTGTTTTTATTCCTGAGGTTTGCACAGACTAAACCCACAGAAGCAAATCTGCATCGTGTCTGCAAAGAGAATTATTGGCTTCCTGAAACTCTTGAGTTTACCACTGTATTTAGTGGTATCACTAGAGCGTGGAGACCTAAATGGCAAAGGGGAATCAAATTGAAACTCACTGTTTCCAAATTGTTAGAGGATATTACGAAATTTTACATCCTCTGTTGGTCTCCAGTTATTAAGAAATAGAACAGATAAAAGTATTTATCAGGAAACAAATGGTATGCAAGAAGATGATGTCCTTCTCTGTAAAATTAGGGAGTTGAGTTACTTGATTTCTAAGCTATCCTCCTAATTCCAAAAATTTAGAATACTCTTGAAGTATTGTTATGATAAAGTGATAGCATATTAAGTGTTAGCTATAGGATAATAGGAAAAATCATAAAGGTTGTATGAGAGAGATATGCTTAGAAATCTAGGCCATAGTATTTTTTTTTTTTTTTTTTTTTTTGAGACAGAATCTTACTGTGTTGCCTGGGCTAGAGTGCCGTGGTGTCGTCTTAGCTCACAGCAACCTCAAACTCCTGGGCTCAAGCGATCCTCCTGCCTCAGCCTCCCGAGTAGCTGGGACTACAGGCATGCGCCACCATGCCCGGCTAGTTTTTTGTATATATTTTTAGTTGTCCAATTAATTTCTTTCTATTTTTAGTAGAGACGGGGTCTCACTCTTGCTTAGGCTGGTTTCGAACTCCTGAGCTCAAACAATCCACCTGCCTCGGCCTCCCAGAGTGCTAGGATTACAGGCGTGAGCCACCGTGCCCGGCCCATATTATGTTTTTGTTGTGTGTCCTCTTAAGGAATTTGGACTACAGAGTGGTGATTTCCAGTTTTTTTTTTGGAAATTGTGAGGATCCTTTCCAATGTAAGAAAAATCTCCCCACCTAAAAGTAGCTGGCTCTTTATTATCTACTAATTGGGAAAATCTCTAATGACAAAAGCTACCATGTAGGCATGGTATTTTTAATGGAATTTGCTTCAGACTAGTGTTTCCTTTAGTTCTTGGATCACCTGTATCCAGATCTTTTGGGGGTACTTGTTAATGTAGATTACTGGGCCTCCCCGCTAGACCTACTGAATCAGAAAGGTGGGGCCCCAGGAATGTGCTCAAATTTTAAACTATTTTAGGTTATTCTTAGACAGATTCATGTTTGAGAATCACTATAGACAGGAGAAAAAGATAGGCATTGATGTGGGGATTGTAGATTGAGGGTATAGGATGGAGAAGGAAGCAAGTAGAGCCAGAAGAGTTGGATGAACTGGGTAAAAGAAAAGGAGAGATAAGTGATTGGAGGTCTCAAAGAATTGTTTAAAAAAAGATTTATTGAATGTAAGTTAATAAGAGAAGTGGAAAGATTAGCTAGAGATAGTACTCAGATCAAGGAATATTGTGGTTTATGACTTTAGTAAAAATGTGGATAATCTACCCCCATGCTTTGTAATATCAGTTCTTTGAATCTCCTTAATTCCTTTTAGCAGCTGCCTGCAATTCCACTTCTTGGACCTTGTCTTCACTCTTATGGTTTCACCTCTCAAATCCTGAAGTGTAGTATTCTACTTCCTAACCTCTCATTACCTTTTTTATTAACCCTATTCTTTGAAATATATGCCAGATTCTGTGCCAGACACTGAGGATACAACAGTGAGCAAGACAGGAAGAGCACCTTCCCTTAGGAAGCTAACATTCAAATTGGAGAGACAGTAACAGGTTATGTTGTGTTCCAAAGGAAATAAAAAGGGCACTTAATTGTGATGGAGGGACAGATAGTACTTTGAATAGGGGATCAGAGAAGGCCTCCCTGAGGAGATGGCTTTTAAGAGAAAATCTGAAGAATGAGAAGGGGCTAATGGTTTAAAGACTTGGAGGGGGAGAGCATTAAGAGGTAATAAACAAGTGTGAAGTCTCTGCAGAGGAATAAAGTTGGAAATGTTTAAGGAACGTAGTGAATGAAAGGGAGAGTGTCATGAGATAAGCTATAATATGTCATATAATATGACATATATATTATATATATGTCATATAATATGTCATATAATATGTCATGAGATAAGCTATATCTTTTTGTATGCTTGAGGCCCTTAAAAAAATTTTTTTTGTGCGTGAATTGGTGCAAGTCATTTTTTTTAATCTAATTTTTGTTCTTTCCCTCCTTTTTTTAGAAGTTCTTTAATTATAGAGATATTAGACTTCACATGTGATATATGTTATAAATATTTTCTCATAATTCAACAATGTCTTTTGACTGCTTATAGTGCTTTTTGCTATGCAACTCTTAGTTTCATTGATTTTTAAAAGTTATTTTTCTATTCTTTATTTTGTGTGTTTCTGCTCTAATCTGTATTGTTTCTTTTCTTTTGCTAATTTTGGGCTTACTTTGTTCCTTTTTTTATCTAGTTATTTGAGGTATAAAGTTAGGTTATTTATTTGAGGTCTTTCTTCTTTTTTGATGTAGGCATTTATTGCTATAACCTTCTTAGAACTGCTTTTGCAGCATCCTGTAAGTTTAGGTATGTTGTGTTTCCATTTTGTTTGTCTCAAAATGATTTTTGATTTCTCTTTTGATATCTTCTTTGCTGCATTGGTTGCTAAGAAGACTGTTGTTTAATTTCCACATATTTGTGAATTTCCCAATTTCTTTCTGTTATTGATTTCCAGTTTCATACCATTGTGGTCAGAAAAGATACTTGGTATAATTTCAGTCTTTTTAAATTTGTTAAGACTTGTTTGTAACCTAATACATGATTTATCCTCGAGAATGTTCCATTAGTGCTTGAGAAGAATATACACTCTTCCACTGACATAAAATGTCTGGATATTAGGTGCATTTGGTCTCAAGTGTAGTTCAAGTCGAATGTTTCCTCACTAATTTTCTGTCTGGATGATCTATTCATTGCTGAAAGTAGAGTATTGAAGTCTGCCACTGTTATTGTATTGCTATTTCTCCATTCAGATCTATTAATACTTGCTTTGTATATTTAGGTGCTCTGATATATTGGGTGCATATATATTTACAATTGTTATATCCTCTTGATGAATCAACCCCTTTATCATTATATAATGATCTTCTTTGTCATTTTATAGTTTTGACTTAAAGTCTATTTTGTCTGATATTAAATGTAGCTACTCCTGTTCTCTTTTGGTTTCCATTTGCATGGACTATAAGCCTATGTGTATCTTTAAAGCTGAAGTGAGTTTCTTATAGGTAGCATATACTTTGATTTTTTTTTGTTTATTTTTAATTCCATTTAACCACTCTTATGTTTTTTGAGTGGAGAATTTAATCCATTAACATTTAAAGTAATATTGATATGTAAGGACTTACTATTGCCATTTGTCAATTATTCTCTGTTTTTTAATTATTTTATTTTTTTCTTCCTCTCTTACTGTCTTCCTTTGTGATTTGATGATTTTCTGTAATGGTATGCTTTGATTACTTTCATTTTATTTTTTGTGTATCTACTGTAGGTTTTTGCTTTGTGGTTATACTTCATACCTTACATAAAGCATCTTATAACAATCCGTTATAAGCTAATAGCAACTTAATTTTAATTACGTACAAAAATTCTACCCTTTTATTATCCCCACCATTTTATGTTTTTGATGTCACTATTTATATATCCTTTTATATTGTGTATCCATTAACAAATTATTGTAACAATAATTATTTTTATTTAGGACATTAAATATGAAATATCTAATTTTGAATCAAGTATAGTTTATTATATCTCAAACAAGATCTGTACATTTAATTAAAGTATGTGCCTAAACTATTGACATAGTTTTGCCATCTTTTTTTTTTTTTTTTTTGAGATAGAGTCTCGCTCTGTTGCCCAGGCTAGAGTGCTGTGGCGTCAACCTAGCTCACAGCAACCTCAAACTCCTAGGCTAAAGTGATCCTTCTGCCTCAGCCTCCCGAGTAGCTGGGACTACAGGCATGCGCCACCATGCCCAGCTAATTTTTTCTATATATTTTTAGTTGTCCAGCCAATTTCTTTCTATTTTTAGTAGAGATGGGGTCTCGCTCTTGCTCAGACTGGTCTCGAACTCCTGAGCTCAAACAATCCACCCGCCTCAGCCTCCCAGAGTGCTAGGATTACAGGCGTGAGCCACCGCGCCTGGCAAGTTTTGCCATCTTAACAGTAGCTTGTTTATGCCAACAGTGAAGAAGCCTGGAGAGTGAGTGGCGATGAAATCTCAAAAGGTGTTTTCCACAGCTTGTTGAGAATTGAATAGTTGTCCTCGCAAGAAGTGGTCCAACGCCTGGAAGAAGTGGTAGTCAGTTGGTGCAAGGTCTGCTGAATATGGTGAATGACAGAGAGTTTCCAAGTACAGCCTCTGTAGTTTGAGCAGCGCTGTTTGTGCGACATGTGATCGAACATTGTCTTGCAAGAGGATTGGCCTATCTCTATTGACCAATCTTGGCTGCTTAATCACAAGCATGCTCATCATTTCATCCAGTTGGTTGCAGTAGACATCTGCGGTAATTGATTGACCAGGTTTCATGAAGCTATAGCGGATAATACCAGTGCTGGACCACCAAACAGACACCA